CTCTAATACATTTCTGAGTTCATTATAAAATGAAAGTTATAAAAATTTATTGTGATTAACTTATTCTTACATAATCGTTGCATTATCATATTTCATATTCTTGCATACTAACGTAGTACTATGTAAGCAAATACCATTTAAAGTCGCCATGACATACTTAGAATTCCTAGGCTCTTAAGACCCATAGTGAAGAGTACATCTCTCAAGTTTGTTAAGTTATTGGATGTCTGTATATATTATAAAGTAGCTAATTAGTAGTGATAAATTAGTAGTAAGTATTAGAAATTAAAAAAAATATATTTTCGCAGAAAGGGCGATAAATATAAAACACAAAATTAATAAAGAAAAATACAATACACATAAATGTTCTAGAAAATCCTGTCAACATTAATTGAATATTGAGACAGACGAGACAGGTGAAGACATCCTAAATCGTTATTATAAATAGCTAGTATTTTATAGCTAATTTTATGCTATGACCTCTACATCTGATTAAATTTGCTAATAAATAAATCAGGTTGACAACTTCCTAGTTGATTCTATTAGGAACCGACTAGCAACGATTGGGTATGTATTTACAAAATAAAAACAATTAAGTAAAAATACACAATTAAATAATTTAACTAACACTTCTTGTTCTTGTAAATTTTACTAGATCTATCGATATAAATTTTATCTCTGGTGATATTCTCTAGTGTGTACAACTCTATAGCTTTACTATCATTATTATTTATAATTATTGTCTCTATTATGCGTCTACATTTTATGTGCTCTATGGCAGTAGGTACTTTCTCTGTAGAAAGTGAGTTTGTATGATGCGGATGTGTGTTGAATAAAGGGACTCGATTCCAATGAACGTATAAAATACATACACATAACAATTCTCTTATGATGAAAAATTTTGACAAATGTTATATTCTATAATAACTTTTTGAGCGAGTGATGATTTCACTTTTAATTAACGTAGTAGGTACTTGTTAATTTCCATGGGTCAAAAAATTGAAACAACCTTTTTAATATGATTATGGTACGCTTTTTACAATAAAAGACTTTTATCCCGAAGTATCTTTTATCAGTAACTATAGACTTTAGAGCACCCCAACACTGTAGAACTTATGATAACCTTGAAATAATCGTGAACAATGTATCCGTTCTCTTTACTCGCTTTAATTATGTTATGGTTCTTTTTTTGCATAAGTTGCCTGACTGCTCTTATATTATTTTCAAGATTCCTCATCGTATTATGATAAGTCAAAAAAATATAGCAATAATTACTTTATTCCAATTGTAGGTACTTTGTCGGAGGAATCTTAAAACGGTTCATTGGACTTTCTAGTTACTCTTTTAAACAGGTTGTTCCAATAATCATTCATTGATTGTTTTCTCTTGTCCGCCTGAGTTATTACATTTCTCATCGATAAGTACAATTGTTTTTGATTACACACAACTTCGTCTACCTATTTAAATAATATTTTATGATTTGAAATTAGTAAATAATACTAATGCTATTTTTATATTATTATGCTATTTTATATTTCTATAATTCTCTAACATTGGTTACGATAAATTAAGTTCTACAAAGGCTTTACATTTTTCAATTTTCACAAATTAATCACACTGTAAATTACTTAATAAAATGATAAAAATATAGCTTTATAGTCGGAAACAAAAACAGTTGAGTTAATTACACTACTATTTTAATGATCCTTTTTCTTCACCCGTATGATATAAAAAATATTATACTTGTAACACTTTACGTGTAATGTAGGTATGCCTGCGCAGGTGGACCTCTCCGGTAGACCGTAGCGTGTATGGCCGGCATAACAGGCGTCTCTCTCAACATTATAAAGATTTTAATTTTAAAATATCTTTTTTTTTGGCAATTTTTTGTCCATTTTTTTTGTCTTTATAATAAGAATGTAAATTAATACTAATAATATAGCGTTTTTATTAATAAACATATAAGTACAATATTCTAACACTTTTTTAAAATTTGATATAAATCTAAGCTTACTGAAATGAAATGAAATAGTTTATTCTTGCAAGTAGGACTATATAAATCACTTTTACAATGTCTTCCTAAACTGGATGAAGTCGACATTTCCTAACTGACTGCCCTGAGAAGAAATGTCGAAACAAACTCGGGGGTCTTAGTCTCTTTTATAGTCCAGATAATACAATAATAAATTAATAAATTGGTGTAAACAAATGCAGAGTATTTACTGGACTGGTCTTTGGAAGAAAGAACCAGATCGATCTGAGCAAGCCTGTGCCAGCAGACGGCAAGCATGCCACTGTTTAATTAATAGTATTAGTAATTAGTAATATGTTATTCAAGTACATTAAAATATTATTTACGCATGGTATAACACAAATTAAAATTTTTGTTAAACTAAAGATTGTTGCTGGCGCTGATAATTCAGCTACTATATTTAAGCCGTATTTGTAAAGATTTTGATTTGGAGTACGCCTATGTAAGCAAAGATTTGTTGTTACGCTGATATTTTAACTATTTCAGCCAAATAATTTTCTGATTGTAGTGTATTCCGGGCATTACGTGTGTACACGCATCGTTGACTATTTCGTAATATCGTACGATGCCCGAATTCTAGTACCGTAACAAGTTTTCTCTGTTACGAATTTATGATTGCACTTTCGTGTTAAAGTGTGATATTTTTTATGCGTAGGTATTGCATTGTTCACCTGTCAAACCGGTGATAATCCGGTTTTAGAAGGTATGAAGTAGGTCTGGTTAATTTTCGTATTTGAACAATAGGTGGTAATTGTGATGACATACATTCATGTTCATATAAATTCAACCAAGCGAATTTTCACACGAGTTTTCTTTTCTTTTAAATAATTCAAAAGTGTACTCAGAAAGGTGTCAAAAAATATTTCAAATGGCGTCTTCATTTGTTACAGTAGAGTAGAGTTTAAGATTATTATTTTTTCAAATTATTACTGTTTGACACTACTGAATGGATCGCCGTATATGGTATATCACCTATTAATGAGCAAAAATTAATGATATTACATATTTTACTGCTACTTTGGAATTCCAAAAACGAGAGTCAACCAGTCACGGCGAGAATTTGTCATGTTATTATTTATGATGAGCCCAACTAAAAAGAAAGTAACGTATTACGACATCAATGATTTTTCTGTATTCAAAATTATAAAAGCACATACTTCCGCCTATTGCTTTCTTCGTAAATACTAATACAGCCTCTATCTTTATTGATTGTCACTTTTATTTTAGCCTTTTTACTTAACTTCGCGTTATATTTCACATATATTTTTATTATATTTCAATTAATTTAGTAAAAAATCGATAACTGTTTAAACGTCATTTAGTCAAACTTCCGGCCACACACAGACGAATACTTCCGGCGCGCAGCGTTGGAATGATAACAATATATTTTATATTACACCTGCCGTAATTGCGCAATTCATCAAATACGACGTGGTGTTCGCATACCTAGATAGAAATTTTATAAATGTTAATGACTCCTGTTAGAAAGACTCATTGTTTTTATCGTCTTTTACGTATATACGTTGGTATAATATGCAGATATTTAAAGGGATATTTTTCTTCTAAGAATTCGATGGTCCTAAAAATTTCTGTTGTATTTTGTCAATTGATTGTTACGTTCAGAGCTACGGACAATGACCTTAGTTGGTCAAGTGGGCGTGTGGTCACGGATTGACCCTGACCACGTAATGGAATATCGAACTCGCAACTGTAATATGATTCATGACCTCAGGTGCTATTTTGTCTGCGAAGCTAATTTAAATATGTACCTCATTATTCAAGACTATCAAACTGTGCTGCGGCTAAAAATAATTGTAAAAACTATTCCAATAATTAATTGGTTATTCATTCGTGTTTTATATCAATTATTTACTTTAGTATTAATAGATAATGATTTTTCTAATTTTACGTTATGATTGTTATATAAAAAGAATAATAGTACTTTTATATTTTTTCATAAACCTTTAAACCACAGTTCAGACCTATTGATATATATTTTGAGCTGCGAGTTTCATAGGAACATGGAGTTAGTAGCAACTGCGTAACGAACATTTTTATCTTAAGATAATACTCTTTTATTATAGGGTTTTGCACTTATTTATATTTATATATATATAGGTAAAATATTTTTGTTTTTAGTTATTACCAAATCCAATTGATCATTATCTACTTTGAGTTTATTAGGCTGAAGTGTACAAAATAATATTCTTCCTTACGGTGGAATTGGAGATCATAAAATATTTAAGTATCTCCATAAAAGCAGATATATATAAATGTATATTTAATCTTTGACAGTAATAATGTATGAGGAAAATTAATAAATCACTAGATTGTTCTGGTTTATAAAGCAATATTTCTTTATTGAATTTTAATTGCAGTGACATATAAACTTAAACTGTGGTATCGTCAAGTGAATTAACTTCACCGTTAGTTAATTTCGTTTGATATTTGTCAATATATTGGAAGCATTATTTAATTGCAAAATGAGGTGGTAATATACACATCCTTTCACTGATACCTAACATTAAAATGTGGAATTATATAATGATATTATTTTTCTATTACTTACATATATCTAAATAGATTAATTGACAAGTGCGTCTTTTCATAGGATAATAAAATATTGAGTGTCTGTGGCACCGCCAAGCAATAAATATGTATATATATTATTTGCTGTTTTGGGGCCATTCATTCATATCTTTATTGAAATGTACAACACGTAAACAAGAATAAAACGCTCGTATCGAATAAACGATTTGATGCATCGCCAACACATACAAATTTAAAAAACAACTTTAATATATGTCAATTTCTCATTCCTTTTAAAAGTTTGAGGAATTTCAGTTTCAATGCGTGGTAAAAAAGTTGCCTAAGGCTAGTAAATTAAGGCTTTGTGTCTGCGTTTTTTAAACAAACCACTGCTACAACTATTATTCACCTATTTCAGATAGAGTCACCGCGCAGAGAAATGGCGGCGACGAAATATTCCCACCCGTTCCTATACGGTTTAAAACCATTTCCAGAGGGACACGACGACGAAATACAGGAAGTAAGAGAATGGTAAGATTTTTCTTTAAATTACAAGAAGTATTGACATAGGGTAAATAATTAATTTTTAAAATTTTAAAATCTTCATACACTCAGAAATATCAATCACTACACAGGTGTCCTTGTTACCTTAAAATAAAATAATAAATAATTACGGCAATGTCAATAAGTATAGTGATATATTATAAAGTCTATTCCCATAGACAACCGTTTTTTGTAGTATAATATATACGTCAACTTTTATTATTTATTGAATACTTCGCTGCATTATACAAAACGATAATAAAGGTACGATTTTACAACAATTTGATAAAAGCAAATCTAGATAATTGTTACGTCGTATGTCCTTACGAATTTTAAGGTTAGTTTACGCAATTTGTACAAGTAATATTTATACAGGTAATATAGACGATAGAAATAGCCTGCGGAGATCATTGCAATCAAGAAAAGAAGACATAATATATTGGATTTCAAAAACAAATTGTATGTAGGTGTAGGTAATAATTGTAAAGTCCTTTTTATGGTTTACATATTATGCCACTTGAGGTTGCTACTTAAAAGGATTTTTATCTACTACGATTATCTAATTTGAAAATGTATTTTTGTACGAGTGAGCGCAAGACCTATATACTTAAATAACAAATCTATTAGGTTAATCTTATTCAACGTTGATTATTTATTTAAAGTAGGAAATATATGTATGTAGATATTTATTCATACAATTGTAAAATTGACTACATTTGTCAATATTGGGATAGTATAAAAAACTATGTCTTAAAAAGTTTTCTAATTGTGTATCGCCACGGCTTTATTCTTGGTAGGAACTGAAGTTCTTTTCATTAAAATAACAGTATAATAATTTATTTTAAAAGCACTTGTTTTAAAAATGATAATTGTTGCATAAAACAATTGTTACCTTCCTCACTTTCGTATTTCATTAATTAAAGATAATTGCCAAGCAAAATAGCAAAACTACGATAATGAGTACAATTATTCTATAAAAATTAAACTAAAAAGAAACATCTAAAAATAAGTAACCACGAGAAATCGTCAATGTAAATAGTGAATGGAATATCCGTTCGTACTTTCTCTAGTAGGTACTTATTTACTTATTATCTACCGTTCAGTTATTGCATGCTGGCTAGTGTGGACATAATCTCATTCGATGATAGCCAGAGACTGAAAAGAAATATAAAAAAAACCTTAATGTTCTTTATAGAAATGTCTAAGAGCTCACTTACTTTTTTAAAAATTATAATATTACTTTCACACTCAAGTTAAATTGATTGCGTAAACGAAGTGACTTACTTAAAAAGATTATTTCTGGTAGAATTATAAAAATTTATTAAAATTTTCTAAGTCACTTTATAAATATTACCATATTTGTAATACAAACAAGACTTAATTGTTATTTGGCTTTTGCATCCTTCTACCTAGTAAATTTTCCCGTTTCAAACTAGCCGATGACTACGAAGGTCAACAAGCAGATTATATTATATTTATAGATAGATAACTTAACACTCCGTAATAATATAAACAGATATAAATGCTAAACTTACTTAACTGAGAGTTAAAAAATCTCCATTAATTAACCAAGAGAGACGAAACAGGATTTAATGACAATATAATACGCTTTTGAAAATACAGGTAATGCCGTTAGGTTGTAAATGAATGGTATGATGCTGGTATTTTTTGTTAGGGTTTATTATAATTTTCTTCAAGGTTTACGGAAAACATTTATAAGATAAATAAAAGCTTTAAGAAATAAAGAATTAAATGTAGGTAGCAAGGTTAAATTTAAATTTTTCATCAGATTTAAAGGTTATCTTAAAATTGGTTTTTCCGAAAGTATTTCTGTCTTCGAACATTTATAAAACCCTTTTTAAACGTAGGTACATGATGTAACAAAGAATTATTAACACTTAGTTATTTTTTATTTAGATATTTGTGGCATGTTAATTTGTTTGTTCGAAGTTCCATTTCAGTTCACCGCTTTTAGCAAAAAATTTACTGAATGTTACTTAAATTATTAACATAAAAAAACTAAACACTGATTTAAATCTGTAATTCACAGAGAATATTTGGTGGCATTTTGTTATTGGGCTTAATAAATTATGTTATGTTTCAGGATGAAAAGTCAGCCGCACTTGCCGTACATATCAGATGAGTTCATTGTGCTTTTTCTTCACTCTAACTACTACAAGGTGAAGGAATCCGAAACCACTATAGAAGCTTACTTTACTCTTAGATACAATACGCCTGAACTTTTTACACAACGTGATCCTTTGCTGCCAAAAAATAAAGTCATTCTGGAAGTGACGTAAGTTATCTTCGTCAATTGATCATATTCATTCAGTCTATTATTTTCATTCATAAAAATAAATCAGTCAATATTATATAGTAATTGCACCTTTTTATCTACGATTCAATGGTCTCTTTTCATTACAGCGTAGACACAATCTAACGAAAACGAAAAGAAATGTCAGAGTACAATTAAATACGGTTTTTTAAATAATAATGGGGTATATTTAAATCTCTTATATAATTATAAAACGCATTAATAATAAGATTCATGTAGATATTTAATGTTAGCACTTTAATAATCTCGTGACTGTCTCGCGATAATTAATTTACATTAAACTAACTGAAACCTCTTAAAACTTACTGTACACTATGCATATTTTAGGTGACAAAAAACAGTCTTTTCATTGATTTTTATCGCATTACTATATTTAAAATTAATACAATTAATAATATAATTACATTATTGTATTATTTTTTGCTAGGATTAATTACGACGTCTGCTTATTACGTTATCATAGGTATGAGTATGAAAGTTACCTGGTCATATTGTATGTTCGTAAAATTTTATTGTTAATTCATAAATACTATAAATTTTTATGGAATTGTTATTTTGGTTGAACATTCTTTATTTTTTTTCACTCAAATCTGGCCAAAGTCGTTTGATCATAACGCTAAGTTTTTGATTTTTCTTCTTATATTTTTATGTATTTCTTAACGTAGTTTAATTAACATAAGTAAATAAAAAGGGAGGGCAACTGGCGGCCTTATTATTTTCTAGCGATCTCTTCCCGGCAACCACTATTTTGTTGTAGATTAGTTGATTTGGTATTTATGGTTTATATCTTCAATAATTAATACTTATTTATAAAAACTAAATCAGTATAATTACACCCTTTTTAACTCAAGTGCCTACTATTTTCATTGAGTGCGTGATGAATATATCCAGATTATTAGTTTTATTAAAACAATAGGAATGGTTAAAACAGGGAGATAAGGGATTATCTAATACATCAAACTTAAGTCTATTTTAAGAGCTGTGAAGCCATATTTCCTTAAAGAACTTTTTAAATGCAATCAGACGAGATTATCAATTTAAATTAAAAAGAGTTTAGAATATCATTTGTTGATCCAAAATGTCCACACAATTGTGCGGAAATATTCCTTGACATTTAATTAAAATTTTGAGTAGCTGTATTATTCACGTATTTAGAATTTGGTTCAAAAGTTCCTGTTTCATATTTTTACTATTATTTTATTTATAGATTACTGAAAATTATAGAACTTTTAAAGAACGGAGCCTTATTATGTTTCGTTTTATAAAGTAAAGAGTTTTGCTTAGACTATATTTTGCTCAGCTTTATCTTCCAATTGACATGCTTAGGGAATCACGCGGATTTACAATAATTTAAAAAAACATCAATATACATTAGAAGTTTCATCATCGGACGTAAAGGCAAAATACAAAATACCATCCGTATCACCTCGGCGTCCGTCGTTCCACAACTGCGCGTTTTCTAAGGCAGTTTTTGCCGCGCACCACCACTATGTGGAACCAGCTGTCCACTGAAGTATTTCCGAACCAATACGACTTAGGGTCCTTCAAGAAAAGAGCGTACCAATTCTTGAAAGGCCGGCAACGCACTTGCGAGCCTTCTGGCATTGTGAGTGTCCATGGGCGGCGGTATCACTTAACATCAGGTGAGCCTCCTGCCCGTTTGCCTCCTATTACATAAAAAAATAAAAATAAAGAAGCAAATAAGCAAAATGTGTTTATTATGGAGCCAAGGACAGTGTACAGCTGCATGTACTTATTGCATATTAGACTCGTTTGTTATTGAAAATTAGCATGTAATTTTGATTTATACAGAACTTGAAAAGCATATAAGGCACAATTAAAATAATTGAGATGACGTTTACTCCATATAATTAATGTGTCTCAAGTATCTAACTGTAAACGTTCGTGAAGGCTTAATAACGGTTAATATGAAACTAGCGTGTAGAACGTAGAGTAGTGTTGCATGATATTGTGTAACACGGAAGTTATACGTGCACATAATGCATTTTGTATGATGCTTCTTGCTTCAAATCCTTAGATAAACCAACTGTAATAGTATAGTTGCCAGTTCTGAGACTTAAAGTAAACAGTACAAGTTACCAACCAACGACAAATCAATTAATCAGTTATATAACTGTTGTTGTTAATTTGCTTCAGAAACCACCTACAGTTTGCTCGACTACTTTTAAAACCTGCAACTAGATTTTATAACTGCCTAAATTGTGTTTTTCTTTGTATATTTCCATCTACATATATAGCACGATGTTTTTATTTCTTTTCCTTACGTTCCAGGCAAATGGTGGCGTTACCCAAAGTAACACCGGAAGGACACCATATTCTGTTATACCGTCTAGCAGACACAGATTATAGTAAGTTGTGCTTCGCAGACGCAGTGAGAGTCTTCTGCATGTTTAATGATATCAAACTGTCAGTGGACAGCCTCTCTGAAGGATATATTGTGATTTTCGATATGAAAGGATGTAGTATTGGACATTTGACCAGAGTGACTCTACCCGCACTAAGAGCTTTTATGCAATATATTCAAGTAAGTAATAATTTACTAGATTTTCACTTATCTCCTCTAAAGATATAATCAAGTACAAGAAATATGAAAGTTCTTTACATCTACATTTATTAGTTTCTTTCTCTTCTAAACAGTAATATTGTGGAACTTTAAGCTTTAATGTCAAGGACTTGGTAACTGAAAAGCTAAAAGTGGCAACTGAAGTGGACCACGAAGAAGTCCTGTATAAAGTTTTTTTTTATCTTCGTACAGTCACATAATATAACAAAATATAGTGGCGTTTTTTGACCCAGGTTGTATCGAAACACGGAAACACATATACTATTCCCGTACAAACATTTAAATATTCAAAAAAATTTTTAAATTGCAGGTAGCCCACCCAGCGCGCCTTAAAAAGATTCACGTTGTTCACACAGTTTCCTTCATCAATCAAGTCATGTGCTTAGTCAAGCCCCTCATTCATTCCAACCTCTATAACCTTCTCAATTTCTCATCTGATGGACCAGCCTCCGTAGTAGACTTAGAATACTTGCCCGAAGATTATGGCGGCCCACTTCGATCAGTCAAGGACCTTCATGAGGAACAGAAACATAGTATGGAGACTGAATATAGGGAATGGCTTATGGAGTCCGAAATATTCAAAACGGACGAAACGAAGAGAATAAAGAAGCCAAGCAAAGGGTTGTTTGCTACTCTTACTAGTTCATTCAGGGGTATTGATATTGATTGATTATAATTTCCAAAAAGACACATAGCTTCGTAGTTATAGTTATTCGATTTCTTAATTTCTATTTGACATTTTATCTTGACAGTTCTAGTCTAAGAGTCTTACTTTTCGGCCTTATAATAGGCTAAAGATTTTACGATATTCGTTGCTAAGCTTACCATTCTTTTTATATAGAATCAACATCGTAACCATAGTAACAAACGTGGTACTGACTTTAATTCATGTTTTATAAGAAGGCGGAGTACGTTTATATAGGCTTGAAATAGATTCAATAAAGGACGATTTCTCGGAAAAAAGACGAGTTCTTTTTACAACGCTCAAAAGTTGTATTTTTATATTAAGAGAAAATGCGTATTACGTATATTGAAAGCCAACCAAATATTTCTTGATAGGTAAGTGTAAGTGTCGCTATTTGTACCTATTTACCATTTTGTAAACTATAATATGTCTGTGCAGTGTGTCTATAATACATTAAACAACCTATTTGTATTGGGACTGTGGTGGAGCCACAGATATCTTCCGTGTGTCAGCATTTTCTTCCAATTAAAATTAATTATATTTACCGGTTATTCAAATTAAGTATTTGCTTGACTCTATTCGATTCACCAAATTGTAATAAACACAAAAAAATATCTTTATATAATAATATCTTCCAATTTTAAGAGCAAGTGACAACAAACATACTTTTAGTTATTTATACAAGTAATATTTACTCATATTACGCGTAGTATTTTTCTTTTGTCGCGTATTTTATTGCAGAGCAGTTTAGTGGCTTCAACGTGTGACTCTTCTCCCTGAGGTCGTGGGTTCGATCCCCAGATGGGCACTAATGGACTTTCTATGAGCGCAATTAACACTCGTTCATATCGTGAAGGCAAACATTGTGAAGAAACCGTGCCAGACACAGAAGGCTGATCACCTACTTGCCTATTAGAAAAAAAATGATCACGAAACAGATATAAAAATCTGAGGCCCAGATCTAAAAAGGTCGTAGCGCCACTAGTTTCTTGGTATTTGATTGAGGTTTCTTTCTATACAAATTGTAGCAACATTTTGGATATAGCACCCGAGTGATATAGACCATTCTGTGTTTTTGGAACCAGTTATAATTAAGACAAATCGTAAATTATTCTTTATAATTCATGCGCTTTATTAAGAAGAATTTACGACTTATATACATAATTGTAATTTCATATGGATTCGTAATTTTCTTTACTGTAAAAGCCGTTGTTTTATTGATAAAACATTTAAGGTGACCTGTTTAGATATAATTTAGAATATTAATGAGGTAACTGGTTAGGCTTTCATTACTGTAAATATCAAATCTTGGCATGATGTGAGCGAACAGTTGCCAAATTGTAAGGCGGGTTCATATATTATTATGAGCCAGTGATGTAAATAAATACTTGCCTCATTCTTTATTTGAAACAAAGATTTGTCTTTGTAAGACTTTCGGGTTTCTGTATTATTGGTGGCACATTTTCACTTTATAATAATTTGACTGAATGTGTTAAAAAATTTAAATCTGTTAACATTTGAAATTGACAAATTGTATATTAATGTTATAGTTACCATAGATTATTTTTTATACCTTAACGTGTAAAATTGAATATTGTTGACCTAAAAATATTTTTGTACCTATAGTTTTAAATGGAACCAAATTATTATTGTAATTTTTATACAGTTTTGTAAATATTCAATTAAATTTTATTGCATAAAAATGTATTTTTACTTATTTTACTTTATCAATAGTTTTTCAAGGGTGGACGATGCGCAATATGGTCAGTAGGTACTGCATTATAAAGTTTTTAGAAATCATCTGTTCATCATTCTAATAATGTTCATGTAAGTTTCATAAAAAAAACGACGGGTTGCACTCCGGGAGTGCCGGCAGAATTGATAACTTGAATATTAACGTTGTGCATTTTTGATATTTAGGAATGGTTAGGGAATAATTTTGCACGAATCGCTCTAATTATCAGTATAAAAGTACTATCATTTATGTGGTAGAATACAAAATTTATTTATTGCGTTATCGTACACAAACATGACAATTTATATTACATTAAATACGCCGCGCCAGCTGTCTACTCTCCATCCGTCTTACGAATTTTCGATCAGCTCACGTGTCCTGACGCGTCTTATTATTAGCGTCAGTCTGACCAAAACGTTAATAATAAAGCTTTAGACGTTTCGCAAAATTAAACCTTGATGTATTGACTTAAGGTCCAATTCCACATGCATCAATGTATCTGAGGAAAGAGACAAATGAATTTAAACTGTAACTATATAACACGAAGGTTCATAATCCTTTAAACAAACATCCGTCTTACGAATTTGTCCTGACGCGAGTTTAACATTTTTTACCCATTCCAAAAAAAGTGTACAACGCCGCTAAAGAAGTTTTCACTTCAAAAACAATATTTGAATAAATATTGCATATTTTGAGATTTACAATCTTATTACGGGCTGTCGATGGTTACTTTAGTGATTAATTTGCAAGATGGGCTGGCATGTGTGCTACGTATAATTTTACCGAAGAGTGGCTTAATTTTAAATTTACGCAAAGAGTGTTCAACAGAAAACTTTTTGGTGAAAGTGGGTGCCCCTGTCTACCGTACTTGTTAATACCGTACCGTTACGCCCTCCAAGTGCTGCTGGTGATCAATACCCTGTTGTAGAACGGACATTTGGGATGAGAAAAGTATGTTGCATACAGAGAGAATGGGGATCAAAATATAAAACATATCAGATATTATTCTTGCATCTGATGCTTTACACAATATTTTATTATTGATAATGAAGGATTACTCGTGGAAGAGGAAGACAGTGCTCATACCATAGAAGATGTGATATGAATGATGGGAATGCTATAATAAGCACATTTTCCATATGATTTCACTAGTGCTTCCTGCCAATATCTCAATGTTTGATTTTTATTGTATTTAAGTATTATATTATACCTTTATTCATAAAAACTAAATTAGTCTATTAACACTCTCTCAATCGCAAATTCTTTTCGTCAAATTGTGTTTACATTGTGATCCTTAATTAATTTTATAGTGTAACTTTACTTATCTGTAAACTGTGTACTTTTGAACAAGAAAGGCTCGATAAAGAAGTGCGAAAATTATCGAAAAGTAGCTCTTCTGTCGCACGGTAGTAAGCTCATGCTCCACGTAGTTCTCAGATGCTTAAAATCAGCAAAGCAGCGACAAATAGCAAACGTCAGGCCGTGGAAACACCAGGCAACTCATAGAAAAAAGCAGAGAATTCAACGTGCCCATGATTATGTGTTTTCTTTATTATTACAAGGCTTTCAACTGCATAAGATGGGATAGCTTATGGAAAATCCTAAGAGAGATGGGTGTTCTAAAACACGTAGTGGAACTGATTGCCAGATTGATTGCCCACGAGGAGATGCTCAGGAAATGCGATGTAGAGAATGCGCTTTTCGATTCGCAAAGAGAGGTTCGATAGGAATGCATTCTGTCATTCCTGTTTAATATTTTACATTACATGTTTTACTTTTACAAAGTATAATATCTAGTACTATTCAAACCATTAACCCCTATTGTTTATTCATAAAATAGTAAAATTTCACTCCTTTAACTAAAGTACTCTTTAATTTTTTTGTCAAATTCTGTTTCCGCCGTGATGAAAATAGATCGATGAGTATTAATTATTTATTACTTTTTAATGAATAAGGAAGTAACGCATCATATGGTTAATTTATCTATTCCTTTTAAAAATGTTGTCAAACAATGGGGCATTGTATGTAAAGTGCAGCACCGTTGCGAAGCTAGAAATTTTGTGGAGTCAGTAGTGAATTGATTTAGAGCTTGTTTTCATGGATCCGATACTGTAGTATCATTAATTAAACACATATTGGCGAGCAGCTAACCGTGTTTTCGGGGTTGCTATTTACCTACAGTTTTCAGTACAGCATTTGCGTTTATTTTTTAGTGCATAGTTTTGATACGCGTAATGAAATTGAGCAAATTAAGTACTCGGATTCAATACACAATACACATACAGGAAATAAGTTTATGTCCTGTTGTATGTAGATTTTTCTGTCTTTAATTAAAAAAAAAATTAATTATTTGTTCAACGAACAACAAGAACACATTATTTCAAACAATTATTTATTATTTTAACAAACACCATTTTAGTTTCTTACACAAAAAAGTAAATTATTAGTAAAATTTGAAGAGCAAGTAAATACTGCCACTTGTTACAATTCTTAAATAACACCATATTGGGTATCTATCGGCCCCCATCATTGCTAAATGCAGGTTATTTCATTACATTTTCAAATCTCTGAGGCACGTTATGAGTACTGCATAAAAATATATAGACTTCATTGCTCAATCTGTAATTCTGTATTTTGGTATGGGAGGTGCAGCCAAGTGATACTTTACATATCTAGAAAGGGTGCAAAGATTTTCTACTGAAACCGTATACTCAGGATGCTCTCCGTTAGGAAACTTTACCTTATGACAACGCCAAATTCAGAAGCATTCGGGGCGATGTTCAGGCCTCTGCATGCCACCCACAAGCAGATTTTATACCAAAATAAACCGTATTCTTTATTAACCCAACGCAACTGTACGAGTGTAAGAAAAATATGACTGATTGGCTCTTTACTGGAAAATGTTTTGGTTTTATTAGTTTGAATTTGATAGATGCCTAATGTACATACAGACACACAACATATTAGTAGGTACATGTGGCCCATTCTCACACCTTAACAAACGAACATACCGCACACCGCACATACATACGAACACTCACACACATAGATCCCAGCACATCTCAACAAAAAACATTCGTGTTCACGTATAAACCAGGTTTTCCCATCATAAGTATCCATTGATTCCTTTCTGGGAAGCCTTGACAGACTGTAAAGATTTGTTGTAATAAAGATATTTTTATATTTTTTTTTATTTTCATTATATTTTCTTTTATACCTTATGTTATTATAATAAATTTGCTTTTAAACG